TCTTTTGCCTGTGTTGTGGAGAGCATGTCTTCAGAAGATGCTTAATTGAGATTAGACCGATGGAAAGCCAGTGGGTATTAAGACATTTAGCACAGGGATGGGGGAATTCAATCTAAGTGAAATTTGAGGAAGGCATCATCCTTTGAGAGAAGGACAAGACCTATTAAAAGGAAATGTGAGGAACTCTTTTCCATGTGGGGAGGGACCTGGAGGTGGCTCCCTTTAGTCACTGCAAAGGCACAGGCAGCTCTTGCTGGTATCAGTTGATGAATACATGTCATGGGGAGAAGATATGGCTAATGTGGTTTTCTCAGGAGTGGGGAAGTTCTGCCTTATCATGATGATTTGATCGACCTCCTGCGTCTTCCTGAGGACTAATGCTGTTGGATGTCAGTGATGACTGTACTTTCCCTGACTAGATCCATGACAACAGATGGAGGAGGGTGTTTGATGATGCAATCATGTGGGCAGCTTTAAGATGTCATGTGGTAGAATAGATGTTTGAGATGAAGAAGACTTCTGGACAGTGGAATGAGCTGGATTGGCTGGGCATATGCTGTGGTTGCTCCCTAGTTTCCCAGGTAGGTAACCCCAGTCAAGGTCAGATCCAGTGTGGTTGGGAGATCCTTCAGGGAAGCTACTTCACTGCTGTGCTGAACCTTCTTCCCTTCATCAGTGCCATCATGAATGTAGTACTAGGGGTGTCTGGGTGGCTCAGTCATTAAGTGTCTGCATTAGGCTCAGGTCATGAGCCCTGCATTGGGCTCCCTGCTCAGTGGTGAATTGGTTTCTCTCTCTCCTCTGCCCATCACCACCCAGCACCACAAGTGCCTCTCTCATTCTCTCAAATAAAATGTATTTCTTAGAGATTTTATTTATTTATTTGACAGAGAGAGGGAGTTCACTAGTAGGCAGAGTGAGAAGGGAAAGCTTGCTCCCTTTAGAGCAGAGAGCCTGACGTGGGGCTCAATCCCAGGACCCTGAGATCATGAGACAAAGGTAGAAGCCGAATACTCTGAGTCTCCCAGGCACCCCAGCAGTTGATACAGATAGGGTTGCCTAGGGGCACCTGCGTGGCTCAGTGGGTTAAAGCCTCTGCCTTCGACTCAGGTCATGATCCCAGTGTCCTGAGATCAAGCCCAGCATGGGGCTCTCTGCTCAGCAGTGAGCCTGCTCCCCACCCCCACCCCGCCTCTGCCTCTTGTGCCTACTGCTCTGCATAGTTGTGATCTCTCTCTCTCTGTCATATAATTAAACAAAATCTTAAAAAAATTTTAAAAAAGACTTGCCTACCTAGAACAGACACATGAAAAAATGTTCACCATCATTAACCATAAGGGAGATTCAAATCAAAACCACATTGGGATACCACCTTACACCAGTTAGAATGGCCAAAATTAACAAGACAGGAAACTCCAACGGTTAGAGGATATGGAGAAAGGGGAACCCTCTTACAGTGTTGGTGGGAATGCAGGTTGGTACAGCTACATTGGAAAACAGTGTGGAGATTTCTTGAGAAATTAGAAATAGAGCTTTCCTATGACCCTGCAATTGCACTCCTGGGCATATACCCCAAAGATACAGACATAGGGGAAAGAAGGGCCATCTGTACCCCAATGTTCATAGCAGCCATGGCTACAGTCACCAAAGTGCGCAAAGAGCCAAGATGACCTTCAACTCATGAATGGACAAAGAGGATGTGGTCCATATATACATATATATATATATATATATATATATGTATACAGTGATGTATACATTGTCCATATATACAATGGTCCATATATACAATGGTGTATTATGCCTCCATCAGAAAGGACGAATATCCAACTTTTCTATCAACGTGGTCAGGACTGGAGGAGATTATGCTGAGTGAACTAAGTCAAGCAGAGAGAGTCAATTATACGATTTCACTTATTTGTGGAGCATAAGGAATACCACGGAGGACATTGCATGACGCAGAGGAGAAGTAGTCGGGGGGCATCAGAAGGGGAGATGAAGCATGAGAGACTGTGGTTTCTGAGAAACAAACTGAGGGTTTTGGAGGGGGTGGGTGGGACGTTGGCTGAGCCTGGTGGTGGGTATTAAGGAGGGCACATATATAGTCTTTCCTTTCTCCTCTGAATACAATCCCCTCCTTGGAAATTCTAAATCCCACTCCTCCTACTTAAGTCATCGCGACACAGAAGACTCACCTTCTCTTTGAGCCTCATGTCTTTCTCATGCCCATACTTAAGAACTTGTTTTTTTGTGTTTGTGCATGAAACTGTCTGACGTCATTGAGAACAGTGCAGGAAAAGCAAATTTTCCTCTCCTCACATTCATTCTGTTGTGTGAACTGATCTCCAGGCTTCAGACCTGGAACAGAACGTGCAGACAGAGCTGGGGATCAAGGGCAGCCAGAGCTTCATTGCTTTGCCAGCCAAGGAAGCCTCAGCAGGTCGGGCGTGAAACCCGCAGCCCACCCAGAGGAAGGGGCTGGGGGTTTGTAGGAAAATACTGGATTATGTCCGAAATCTAGAGGAATTCTATCTGTGCTGCCAGTGTTGTTAATCATGTTGTCCGGGTGGAACCAATTCCTGAAACAAAGGGCTGAGAAGTGAGAAGAGGTTTGTGGACAAGAGAAAGTTTACTTATTTGGAAATGGAGTCTCACTGACGCATTAATTGCTTTTTTCTTTGTTCAACCTGATGCTTTCCAAGTGGTTTTCATTTCAGTCAGCAAGACAAAGGTTGTAAGAAGACTTCATACTTTACAGTGAGAAACCACTCAGTGTGTTCTGGAATGGCTAAAATAAAGAAAAAGGATACCATCCAATTTTCCTGAGAATGCTGAGAATTAGAATTCTCCTATATCGCTGATGGGAGGGTAAAAAGTAGACGGACTGTGGACAACTGTGTGGCAGGTCCTTATGAACAGAAACACCTACTGAAGGGGACTCTTTGTTACCCAAAAATATGTCTCCTTGGCCTGAGCATTATTTTTGGCTGGTTATTTTGAATCAAAGGCAGATAAAGGAAAAGCTCTGAAATCCTGTGTTACTTTGAAAGAGACATTTGCATTATACAGGAAAGTTCAGTCTGTCAGGTATCTCCCTTTGTGTAGCAGAAAGAGGGAGACAGTGTCAGTCTCCCAAAACTCTGATTTTGGAGAAGGCTGGGCTCGAACTCTGCTCCCAGCCCCAGCCTTGGTTCCCCTGTTTGGCCTGGTCACCTCCCCAGTTCCTTCCCAGCAGGGTCACCTGTGGAGTTTCAGAAAGGATCTCTACTGGCCTCCCCCTCAGATTCTGTCCATTGGTTTGGCCGAAAACAACACTATTGTGTTAATTAAGGACTCCAGGAGATTCTCTGCAAGACCAGGGGGGAGCCCGAGGGCTTTGGGCTTTTGGTGCCTGTCTGAGAGTGGATTTGTGGCTTTGGTCCTGAAGAGGTGACAGAGTCTCTGCTCCATGAGTCTGGGAGGGTCGGGTCCATGCAGCCCTCAGCTCCGATGCTGACGCTGAAGTTGTGAGTGGCGGTGGCAGGGGACCCCTCCCTCCCCACAAAGCAGGTGAGGAAAATGCAGGGATGGGTGTCCTCACGGGAGCTCACAGTTTCTGATCTGCTTCTGACACAAAGGACTGGGAAGTTGGGCCTTTTCTGCATCTCTGAGTCCTGCCCTCGGGCGAGCGGTGTGAGGAGAAGGAGCTCTGTTGCTGGATTTCAGGGCATTTTCTCCTGATGCAGCTGTGATTCCCCCCCAGATACCTCGTGAGGACGAAATCTAGAGGTGGAGTAGAAGGCAGAAATGGCCAGTTCTCAGGTGAGCCTGGTGTCCCCGCGGAGCCGTGTCCTCTGTTTATCCGCAGACCCTCATGTTTAGAAGCTGCAGATGTGGATGCCTCGAATCTGGGTACTTCTCGCTTCTGTGTTCACCTATTTTTAAGATGTGGTCAGAAGTGATACTCACAGTTAGGTCTTTAGACCTATGCTTCTCTATGTCCCAGAGCCTTCTGTCCTGTGTCCCCAACCTGGCTTCGATAGTGCATCAGCCATTGTCACTTTCACTTAAAGTCCCACGAGGAGTGACAATATTGCATTGGTGGCAGATCCAGATGGGAGGGTGTCGAGTCTGAGATTCCTGTGGCTGATGAGGTCTGGTCCTGGGATGTCAGGGAGGGAAATCATTTCGCATTCGGGCTCCTCTGGATTCTCGATCAGCTGTGTGCAGCCGGGGAGTAAGGAAATGCAGACATAAACTCGATGAGTAGGAGTCCAGGAAACTTGGAAACTTTTCATTCTAAGAAAGGGGATGTATGTGTCTTCATCTTTAGCACGTGAAAGAGATACTCTACTTAAAGTCCACTAGAGGAGGGTGCCTGGGGGCTCGGCCAACTAAGGTTGGACTGTTGATTGCAGCTCAGGTCGGGATCCCAGGGTCCTGAACTGGTATCCCCGCTTCTGGTTCTGTGCCCAGAGGGGAGTCCACTTAAAGATTCTCTCCTTCTCCTGCCCTTCCCCATCTCCTCTAAAATACAAATCAATCTTGGGGATCGAGGGTGGTTCAGTTGGTTAAGAGCCTGCTTTCTGCCTTCAGCTCAGGTCGTGATCTTGGGGACCTGAGATTCAGCCCCACATCAGGCTCCCAGGTGGGCAAGGATCCTGCTTCTTCCTCTCCCTCTGATTTTCTGCCTGTTTGTGGTCTCTCTCTCACTCTCTGAAATAAATACAATAATTTTTTCAAAATTTTACTTTTTGTGGCACTGGGTGGCTCAGTGGATTAAGCCTCTGCCTCCACCTTAGGTCATGATCTCAGGGTCTTGGGGTCCAGCCCCACATCGGGCTCCCAGGTGGGCAGGGATCCTGCTTCTTCCTCTCCTCCTGTTCTGCCTGCTTGTGCTCTCTCAGTTGCTTTCTTTGAAATAAATACAGTCTTTGTAAAAAAAAAAAAATTCTTTATTTGTAAGAAAAAGAGTGAGAGCACAAGTAGGGTGTGTTATGGGCAGAGGCAGAAGGCTCCCCACTGAGCAAAGACACTCCCCCACCGCCCCAGTGTAGGAGGCATTCCCAGGACCTTGTGTCTTGGCTTGAGCAGAAGGCTGATGCCCACTGACTGAGCCACCCACTTGCCCCTATAAATATAATCTTTTTTTTTTTTTATAAAATTTTATTTATTTATTTGACAGATGGAGGTCGCAAGTAGGCAGAGAAGCAAGCAGAGAAAGTGGAGGAAGAAGGCTCCCTGCCGAGCAGATAGCCCCATGCGGGGCTGGATCCCAGGACTCTGGGATCATGACCTGAGCCGAAGGCAGAGGCTTTAAGTCACTGAGCCACCCAGGCACCCCTATAAATATAATCTTTAAATAAGAAGAAAATAAAAATAAATCTTAAAAATTCAAAGAAAAGAAAGGAGTAAACTAGCTATTTCTAGCACAGGGACGCTGTGCTGTCTCAGTGTAGTGTCTTTCTCAGTTGCTTGGGGCCCAGACGAGTGTCCACAATTAGCTGGAATTCCACCCAGCAGCACTGCCGGAATTACCCTGCAGCAGGACAAAGGTGGTGGAAATTTCCTGAAGACCTAAGAGATCAGTAGGCAGGGGGGGTGCACAGGAGAGCTTGTCTGCAAGGGGCAGTGTGTGGGGGTTGCTTTTCAGGAGAAGGAAGGTGAGGAGTTCTGGGGAACCTGTGGAACTTGCTCACTTCTGCTCACTGTCCCTGGTTGTCAGAAGCCCATTGGTTCCTTAGGGTCTTGGTAGTTTTGAGGTGGGTCCCCTGCTGGGCCTGTCTGGACTCAGCCAAGTGGTCACTGGGGCCCTTCCTCCACTCCTTTGTTCAAGCCTCCTTGCCTAAAAGCAGCCTCTACAGATCGTATAGTGATTCAGTTGTTTAGGTATAGCTACTGTATTTCCAAAATCAGATTTATATTCTGAAATCCTGTTTTCAGTCCAATGGAAACACCAGTGATGATGTGTTCTTTGATGTGCATTAGGCGCTGATAACATTTGTTTCCATTCAGCTGATGGGAACTTCTTTTATTGACTTGGTGCTGTCTGCCAGATTTTCCCATCATGTACCTATTTTCCCTCCTAATATTTGTAAGGAACGTAGGATACTGAGGAATATGCAGGAACTGTCGCATTTCTGGTGTAAACTATTTCTTCTGTATTTATCTTGTTGGAGGTTCATTCTTTCACTTTCCTTCCTTCCTTCCTTCTTTTAAATGTTTTCTCAGCTGAGAGTGCACTTGAGAGTGATGAAAGGGAAAAAGGGAGAAGCAGATTCCCACTGAGTGGGGAGTTCAACTCAGGGCTCTATCCCAGGAGTTTGAGATCAGGACCTGAGCTGAAGGCAGACCCTTAACCAGCTGAACTATCTGGGTCCCCCTTGCTTGTAGTTTCTGAGGAGGAGAACAAAATCAGAAGAGGTGTGGATAAAATTAATTGTCCTTCAACTTCCAGTCTGTTGATAAATACCTGAGAAAGGCAGAGTAGGACATTCCTCAGGGAACTCACAACTGCCTCAAGGTTAATGTTTTGTTGGATGCAAAAAGCAGCCTTAGCCTAACAATAGACCTCCAGGATCCTGTAATTCCTCTTTAACATATGAAAATTGCTTTGAAAACTTGAACTCCATTCCTCAAATGTAGCTCAGGCACCATCCCTCAAGCTTGGGGCCCATTGATAGATATCTGGAGGGTCTCCTGACTAAAGTGTTAACCAGTGAGTGGCCTCATCAAAACACCAGCTGGGAGGCCCTGAGGGTCCTGGAAACTTGCTTCCAAATTCCTTAGAGCCTCCTGCTATCCCTCACCTGCTCCCCACCTGAAAGCATAGAACCAGTCCTGCTTACAGTCCTCTCCACTTCCGTTAGGACCACAGTGTTTGTACCATGGCTATCTCAACAATTCTTTCTTCATCATTCACTCCAGAAGCCCAGTATTTCACATCAAAACATGTCTAGAATAGCTTGACCATTGGCTCCTCTCCCACATCCCAACACTTTGCACTGGACAAGGAGGGCTGTCACCTCTGTGTAGTGGATAGAGTTGACTTCTGGGAGTGAAAGTTCTCAACCGGGCAGCCCTCTGCCCCATAGGTTTTTCTTTAACTGCACACCCATCTCAGGGAGAAGGAAAGGTCGGATCTGGTTCTAGCTGGTGACATTAACTCCAACTTTCATCTTAGGATACATCGTGAACTGTGTCAATGGCCACTTGGTGACTGTGGTATTTATTACAGGGACTGCTGACCTTCAGGGATGTGGCCATAGAATTCTCTGAGGAAGAGTGGGGACTCCTGACCCACACTCAGCGGCAACTGTACAGGGATGTGATGTTAGAGAGCTACGGACACCTCCTCTTCTTGGGTGAGGAAGATTCCTTCCACATTTCCCAAAGCCCACTCAGGGTTTTATTCCTTCCTGTGAAGACTGTCTTTTTGGATATTTCTCTTGGAATGACTAGAATTCAGATCCAGGCAGAAAGGGAAATAAGTAGTGCTTTGTAGATGGAGAGAAAAATCTTCATGGTGTTTCCTTCTCAGCCTTAGCTTCTCCTTCCTCAAGCAAACATCATTGCTTGTGTAAATGAGTGGCAGTTCTCAACCTTTAGTGACATAAATGGTGCTGCTCACATCTTAAACTGAAATTTCCCCTTCTTATTATCATGTCTACTACTTGGAAGTGTAGGTCAGGATGTGAACAATGGAAATTTCTCTTGTGTATTCTTTTTTTTTTTTTTTGAAGACATTATTTACTTATTTGACAGAGAAGGATGACAGGTAGGCAGAGAAGCAGGCAGAGAGAGAGGGGGGAATTAGGCTCCCCACCAAGCAGAGAGCCTGATGTGTGGCTTGATCCCAGGACCCTGAGATCATGACCTAAGCCAAAGGATGAGGCTTATCACCCTGAGCCACCCAGGTGCCCCGCCTCCTGTGTTTTCTAAAGGGACTGTTGGGGAACAGCTTTTGGGAAACCATTTTCTAGGATTGTACAATATCGTCTCTTCTCTCCTGAACACAAGACTGATGGGAAGTTAGAATTGGCAGCAAGAGTCATTTTCCTTTTTCCTCATAAACAGGTCTCCTGCCAAAGCCAGACCTGATCATGTTTTTGGAGCAAGAGAAGCACCTCTGGGATGTGAAGAGAAAGGAGACCAGAGGCTTCCATTCAGGTAGGTAGGAACAAATGAAGCAGATGACAGAGGGGAGGTCCAAGTCTGAAGGAGGAAGGAAATCCTTGTGTTCAGTAATGCAGTGTTGCTTCATGGGAAATTAATCATGAGCTTTTTCTTCTACTTTCCTCAGAATGTATCAGAATTTAATCCCAAATATTAATTTCATATACAGAGTCTCTCCACATATTTTCAACATCTATGATGTTTATTTATTCAGAAATGAAGATGTTGTTTGTTTCCTCTGTCTTAACCAAATGGACTATAGGGTTACATTCTGTGGAGGAGAATGAATATATTAATACCATAATATATGTCTTTCAAGCTTTTTAAGTGTTCATAAAGTTTTCATTTACAGCTGTTTATGATTGATTTTAATGAGAATACTTTACGATATTATAGTCCATGAAGACATGCCAATCAGTTGCTTGTTTTTCATGGGTACATGGACACAGTTCAAAATTATGGTAATATAGAAGTTTTCCTTTTCTGTCATACATCAGTGTTTTATTTAGAATTTCGTGGGTTGAGTTTTCTCTTATTCTGGTTTGGTAATTTCCTAAGAATGTGCTTCCTTGTCTGGCTCATTCCACGACATTAGCTAGATGTGGGTTGGGTGTTATGTGTGCAGGTTGTTACAGGAAGAGAATTTTCAGCTCCGTACATTTCAAGACCATGTGAGTATAACAAAAAAGAATGAGATTTATCCTTTTTGTTGGTAAATTATGTGTGTTTTTGTCTTTAGTTTGTATGTCGCACATATATACTATGTCACCCTTACTTTTTGTCTCCTTGGTGAGTGGTCAGTGAATGTTGTACCATGTCTAGGTGAGTTGTCATCCACATAGAATTAATTTCTTCATGTATTTGTGGGTGAATTTTTATTCTCTGCATGAGAGAAAGACTTTTTTGAATTCAGAGTAATTTTCAAATATTTTATACTTCTGTATCATATTTTGGTATGAAATACAAAAGATATACTTTATCTAATTGATTGTAGGATTAATACCCATGATATGTCTTGGTACCTTTGTCATTGAGTTATGCATCTTCTATGAGTATTTTCATTGTGGTTACCTTAGGGATTCGTTAAAACAACTTAGCTGTAAAACGAATTTTTTATTTTTATTTTTTAATAGATTTTATTTACTTATTTGACAGAGATCACAAGTGCAGAGAGGTAGGCAGGGAAAGGGGGGGAAGCAGGCTCCCCACTGAGCAGAGAGCCCGGGGTGGGTCTCGATCCCAGGACCCTGAGATCCTGAACTGAACCGAAGGCAGAGGCTCAACTGACTGAACCACCCAGGTGCCCTGAAACAAACCTTTTTAAAAACTCAGTGTCAATTATATAGAAAACTCTTCTTCCTGTCTCCACACCTGCACACCCTCCCGAATTTGTTACCAACATCACAAATTCTTTTATGTTGTATACTTTATGACCTACACTTGTAGGTCATATAGATTTTTTTTTATTTTTATTTTTCCAAAACAAAGCTCTGTAGCAGAAATAAACGTGACTAGTATCTCATTACAACACAGCAGGTTTGTGTAATTGTCTACATATTTATGTTCAGTGGAGAGCTCTGTGTTCTCATGTGGTTGCAGTTTCTGGGTAGAATCCTTTTATGTCATCTAGAAAGACTTCCTTTAATGGTTTTTGTGGGACAGATCTACTGGTAAGCTTAGAGGGGTTTTTACTTGGGAATGTCTTCGTTTCTGCCTCTTTAGAAAAGAATTTTGCTCGGTAAAGTATTGTTGGTGGCTATTTTTTAATCTTTGAGTACCTGAGTATGTTATGCTGGGCCCATTCCTTTTTGGACTGCTGAGAATCCTACTAGTGATATTATAGGAGCTCTTGCACAAGATGAAGTGGATTTGCCATTGTGTTTCATTTTAGATTTATTTATTTGACAGAGAGAGATCACAAGTAGTTGAAGAGGCAGGTAGGGGGAAGCAGGCTCCCTGGTGAGCAGAGAGCTGGATTTGGGGCTCCATCCCAGGACCCTGAGATCATGACCTGAGCCAAAGGCAGGGGCTTAACCCACTGAGCCACCCAGGTGCCCCTGTCATTGTGTTTCAAAAGTCTCTCTTCATCTGTGGTGTTTGATGGGTTAATTACGACATGTCATGAGTCGTCCCATTCTTTGTATGAGGTCTGCTGTATATACCATAGTTTTATAAGGAAGTAATTGGAAGAAATTAAATATGAAGGCAATCATAATGAAAAGACATTTACTGTAGTGCACTGGATTTATATCAAGCAAACTTCTCTGTGTATAAGTGGACCATTACTGATGAAAAGCACGTTATTCAGTGGTTAACTGTGTTTGTTAGTAGACCTGAAAGGATTCAGGGGCAGATGGATCTCTAGAGAGAGACAATTATTTTCAGTGTGATTCCTTTTTTCCTTTGACTCTATTTTGTATATGCAGATGGGTTTCCAAAGAAAACCAGAGTAGCAGAAGTTTCATCAGATAAACTAGTCTTTTATCTTTTGTTTATACTGCTTTGATATCAGGGTACTGCTAACCTCACAGAATGGTTTTGAGTATATTTCTCTATTTCAAAATTATAAGATTTTCTTTATTGCTATGATTTTGATAAGGATTGTCATGAATGGTTTTTGTAAATGTTAATTTCTTTTTCTTGTCCTGAGCCATGGCTCACCATCTAATACCCAGAGTTCTACCTAATGATCTCTAATTGAACAAAGTCACTACAAATATAATGATAAGCCACAGCTACACAATTCTCAAGGACTATCGATCAAATTTTACACTGTATGTTTCTCCTGTTGTTTTGTGAGCATAGAGAGCACAAGGAGAGTTTTAGGGTTTTGATCTGCACAGAATGCAATGTGTCATATTAAGCTAAAGATAGATTTTGAAGTCCCAGAACTAAGTAGGAAGAAGCACGTGTACATACATACGTGAGTGTACCTATATCTTCAGAAGGAAAAGGAATCTTGGTTCAAACCAGGTCATTTCCAAGTTTGAAAACCGATGATTTCCTAGCAGGTAAAGAGATTCTGGATTCATAATAGAAATAGTTTTCTCTGATTGTATTGAAATTATGCTTACTACATCTCATGTATCTTAGTTTGAGAATCCCCCCATGTGAATCGTCTCTTACATAACTAGGTTTTACTCCTGTAGGATCTACTCTGTTTTCCTTATTCCTGTGTTGACCTGTTGCTTACCTATCTTGATAGAGATTTTAACAAGAGTTTCCATGGAATGACATGGTATTCAACATTTAATTTAAATGTGAGAGTAATTCTCAAGGGGGCATTATAAATTCCTTTAGTTAAATTGAGACATCACTCCTTCCTTTGTGATTGGAGAAGTAAGAGTTCCTTAGTTGTTATTCTTTTCCCTTCTAGGAAGTGATGTCATCCATGTTGGTCACTTCAGTGTCAGCACTTATTAGGTAAAAACATGGAGACTTCATGAATCATGGTATTTGTTTTTGTTTTTCTTTTCTTTTTTTCTTTTTCTTTTTTTTTACATTTATTTTAAGGAAACAAAGATGGAACAGGGCTGGGTGCTGACTGGTTGTTCTAACTTAAACAGAACACAGTGTTCTGTAAGGAGTGATGAGGCAGCCCAGTGGAAGAGCTGAAACAGATATAGGCTGAAACATTGACCTGAATTCTTCATCTGGGGAGAGGACCCCTGTCCAAGGCTACACTACTGACTCTGAATCTAGAAAGAAAAATTGTACTTCCTTTCTTCCCAAATCCTGTCCAGTTCTTGTGTTTCATCTCTATTTTGGTGATGGAGGCATCACAGCTGACTTTCCCTCCTGTGTTCTGGAAACCTTGTTGTCACTGTACTCCCCCTCCCACCTAAGCCAGGCAGGCCCTTGCCTACCCTTAGGAGTAGCTTGGAGTTTTCTAGTGCCATTGTAAATGGTTGATAACAGGATCATGTGAGGCTTATGTGGGTATTAAATACAATGTTGTCACCACTGCACTGGGAAGAGAAGCAAAAATCCATCACTGGGCAACAGGATTAGTTTAGGCATTTGGCACTGGAAGTTGTGAGGACAGATAAAACATGATGTTGTGACAGTTTGAGAGGAAGGTAAGTGCTATGGAAATGAAATATGGTAAACTCTTGAAATGTGAACAAAGATGTGGTAGAGAGGTCCCTTTGGTCACTGCAAGGCCTTAGGAAGCTATTCATAATGAGACAGAGAAGCATTCCTGGGAAATGTGGCTGTCTGGGACATGTGAAGCTTTTTTCATGATGTAATGTATTCCCTGCTGGTCCTGAGGACCAGTTGCTATTGGATGACAGAGATAATTGTACTCTTTGAGGCCCAGATGCATGGAGTGTGTGGAGAGGGGGTATTAGTTGATTTAAACATGGTGGGCATAGCTTAAAAGATGTCACATGACAGAGTAGATGTTGAAGACGAAGAAGGCTACTGGACACTAAGAGTGAGAACCAGCCAGGTGTGTATTGCAGTTCCACAAAGCATTGGTATCCCAGGAATATAACCCAACATAGGTCTGATCCAGGGTAGATGGGTGACCTTGCAAGCATGATGACCTGTGGTTGGCAGTGCCCTCCCTCACTTCCACTCAGTCCTGGGGTGAATCTATCCTGTGCTCTGATCCATGTGCAAGGCACTGATTCATTGAGAAGTCAGTCACCAATTACCAGCAGTGACAATTTCTGCTTCAGACAGCCTTCCCAACATTTGGGGTAGCTGTCCCTATGTTGTTTCAGAGCCCACGCTATCCCTACACCCCTCTTGACCTGACTGAAAAGAGGACTTGTATGAGTTATAGAGACAGATAACATTCAAGTTGGGTAGCATGGTATGCTCATATTGAACATGGGATCAGTTGAAGGATAATACATTTTTCAGTACCTGTTCTGCTGTGGTCAGCAATATCATGAAAGCCTGTTGTGTACATGCAGAAAAGAAGGTGGATATTTGGATATTTATATATCTAGTGAGTTGGTAGATGCTCAGGTCTTCTGAAATAGCCCAGACAACCTCAAGTATAACCTGATTTTTACATGTCGTCTTTCTGGGATTGTCCACCCCCAGCCATGTGCTTATACTTGAATTTTGTTGGCCCCAGGATAACTGCCCAGCACCAGAGAGCAATCCATGTTTCTTGCAGCAAAGGAGACAGTGTAAATCTCATAGGACATAGGGAATTTGATTTGAACCATTTCTGTTCTCATTCAGGGAAAGCCTTCCTCCCCAAGGCAGCACTCTTTCTACGCCATTGACCAGAACTATCACAGGGGCCAGTCTATGCTGAAACACATAACTGTAGCAGAGGTGGATGTGGAAGATGTTTTTGAATGTCTCTTCTTTGAATTCTTTCGCAGTGTCTGGCACAAAGGCAGTGACACTTTGCCCTGAAACTATCTAGCTGTTTCAAGGAAGCCCTAAAATTGAGAGTGTCCTTCAAGTTAGTGCATGCGGATTTTCCACTGCCTGCACTGGCATCCTGGTGAAGAGCTGCTTAAGCCTGCAATTGTTTATGATCTTCCAATAAAAATAGTCAAATACAGATTTATCGTGAGAATGCTATATTCAATACTATATAATCTATAACATATATTAATGTCTTCATGCATTTCTTAACTTAAAAAAGTATTTACATAAGTTCCAGATCAGTTTAAAATAAAGAAAAGATCTATTCATTTATTTTACAGAAAGCTCAGGTGAGAGGCAGGGGCAGGGCAGAGGGAGAGGGAATCTCAAAGTGACTCCCTAGTGAGTTTGAAGCCTGACACAGGGCTCAATCTCAGGACCCTGAGACTGAGATCATGACCTGATCTGAAATGAAGAGTTGGAAGTTTAACCCACTAAGCACCCAGGAGCCCCAGTTTGTTTGTTTGTTTTTAAAGAATCATTTACTTTAGAGCACACTAGTGAGTAGAGTGAAGACACAGAGAGAGAGAATCCTGAAGCCGATTCGCTGCTGAGGGGAGAGCTGATGACGTGATCGAACACAGGACCCTGACATCATGAACTGAGCTGTAACAAAGAGTGGCCGTTTGACCAACTGAGCCACCCCAGAACCCTTGTCCCCATTCACCTAAATTTGGATTGCTTTCATTCAGGAACGTGAACTAAGGTGTGTCTGGGGTGATCTCAGCTCAGTGCTTGGTCAGTGCTGATGGCTTGGTTTTCTCCCCAGAAGCCTGTAAGAAAAGCTCTGAGGTTGTCTAGGGTCTCTGTTCAGGCTTCTAATGGCGCAGGAATGGAGGCTAGCATCAGCCATGGGAAGTGACTTAGAACGTGCATAGCTACCCAGACAGAGAACAGAGAATGTTCTAGTTCAAAGCATTGGCTGGACACCCAAGTCAGTCACAGGTGCTGACAGTTCTCCTTAGCCAGGTAGGTTCATCTACACAGGAGAATAGGCAATCAGTGGACATTGTGTGTAATGGACTCCCACCCACACTGACAGCTTTTGGGTGAAAGATTTCTACCATGACTTTGGATGAATGCTACTTTGTTAGGTTCACAGAGTAGCCAGGAATGTGTCTTTGGTGCTACAGTGTGCATCTTGGGTATCTTCCAGACCTTTGAAGCTGGCCCTATGGCCAATGGTTGGAAGATCTTAAAGTCAGACCTTCCAGGTACATTGACTTTGGGGTTTACCCTGCATGTGACTGTACAGCAGTGCCAGGTGAGCAGCAAAAGATCATGAAGGAAAATGTATCTGTACTGTGGTGGATATCTGAGCCAAATCATACATGTGCCTTATACAGTATTGTCACTCTTCCTTGAAGTCATATGGTGACCTTGTGATCTGTGTGAGCGTTTCCTTGATTGATGTTTTAGTTATAATGGTCATTCCACTCATATTTGCATATAAGAAGGCTTGGTAGTGTAGTGATAGCATCTTGATCTTGGGTCGAGGACAGATGAGTTTATTGTACAGGAAAAAAAAAACATATTGTACATGTTAGAGATACATGAGAGTGATTTCTGCTACACTGTGACCATATCACAGAATTATCTATTAGGATATATGGTCAATACGTTGTGTGCCATGTTATGTATCTATGGAGAAATGAGGTCCTCATGACTCCTTGTCAGCCATCTTTCTGACATTGTCTGTTTCACTTGATGTTTCTGCATTAGAAGTCTTCAGTATATTCTTCTGAATGTAGTAAGTGCAATGGTTTTACTTTTATTTGGTATCTTTCAGCTGTATCTTCACATGACACCCAGAGTTTCCTGCTAAAGCGGAGCATAGAAGGTTTTTTCCAGAATGGATCAAATCCCAGATACAAACATAGTGCTGTTGAGATTTTATACTTACGCACAAACTGGGACAATGATGGGGAGAGTGAAGGGGATCAGAGAAATCCTGGACGATACACCCAAACCAAGGCAATTGCCCTTAATGAGAATCTCACTGCCCCAAATGGTGAAGGAAATAAAGCGCTGTGGAAAACCTTGCTTTTTAAGTCAACTGTTTCTGCAGAGCAGTGTGTTTCTGTCAGCACAAGCTCCAATCAAATATTCAATCATAGCTATTCGTGGACAGACCATTTGGCAGATCTGGAAGGTAGCCTAGTCCATGCTGAAAATAATGATGTGAGCCATTTGGAAAATAGGACTGGCCTGACCTTAAGTCAGAGATTTAGAAATGAAGAACAAAGTGCTCAGTGGGATCCATTTGAGAGGCGCTTCACTGAGGAGTCGACCCTCCAGAATGACCAGAGGCTTTTCACTGGAGACAGAATTACTCAATGCACTGAATCTCAGAAAACACTGAACCAGGACTCCAGTGTTTACCAATGTGTCAAGGCTCGGTATGCAGAGAACCATTATGAATATGATAAATGTGGGGAAGGATTTCATCCAAGCTCTAACCTCAGTATACATAATGGTCACCATTTGGTAGACAGTCCTCATAAAGATAATGAATGTGGGAAAGCTCATAACCAGTCCTCCAGTGTTGGTGATCATCAGAGAATTCACAAGGGAAAAAATGCATTCAGTTCTAATAAACCAGGGACCATGTTTAGTCAGTCATCAAGCCTGAACATCAATGAGATAATCCCTTGGGGAAAGGAAACTTACATCTTTAAGGAATGTGGTAAATCCTTTGACTGCCACTCAACACTATCTCAACATCAGCGAATGCATACTGGAGAAAAAGTATACAAATGTGAAGAAGGTGGTCAAACCTTTAAGGACTGTTCGTCAAAAAATGGACATTCGCAGATCTATTCTGGAGAGAAACCCTACAAATGTCAAGAATGTGGCAAGGCTTTTAACAATCACTCAGGTCTTAATAGACATCGCAGAATTCATAATAGAGAGAAACCTTACCAATGTCATGAATGTGGCAAGAGCTTTAACAAGCGCCCAGCCCTTCTTCAACATCGCAGAATTCATAGTGGAGAGAAACTTTACCAATGTCAAGAATGTGGAAAAGCCTTTTGTGACAGGTCAACCCTTACTCAACATCACAGAACTCATACTGGAGAGAAACCTTACCAATGTCACGAATGTGGCAAGGCCTTTACCTGGAGGTCAAATCGTTCTCGGCACCACAAAACTCATAGTGGAGAGAAACCTTACCAATGTCAAGAATGTGGCAAGGCCTTTTTTGACCGGTCAGCCCTTAATGAACATCACAGAACTCATACTGGAGAGAAACCTTACCAATGTCAGGAATGTGGCAAGGCCTTTAGCCACAGCTCAGTCCTTGTTAAACATTACAGAACTCATACTGGAGAGAAACCTTACCAATGTCAAGAATGTGGCAAGGCCTTTTGTGACAGGTCATCCCTTACTCAACATCACAGAACTCATACTGGAGAGAAACCTTACCAATGTCAGGAATGTGGCAAGGCCTAGTGAGTGGCCTCATCAAAACACCAGCTGGGAGGCCCTGAGGGTCCTGGAAACTTGCTTCCAAATTCCTTAGAGCCTCCTGCTATCCCTCACCTGCTCCCCACCTGAAAGCATAGAACCAGTCCTGCTTACAGTCCTCTCCACTTCCGTTAGGACCACAGTGTTTGTACCATGGCTATCTCAACAATTCTTTCTTCATCATTCACTCCAGAAGCCCAGTATTTCACATCAAAACATGTCTAGAATAGCTTGACCATTGGCTCCTCTCCCACATCCCAACACTTTGCACTGGACAAGGAGGGCTGTCACCTCTGTGTAGTGGATAGAGTTGACTTCTGGGAGTGAAAGTTCTCAACCGGGCAGCCCTCTGCCCCATAGGTTTTTCTTTAACTGCACACCCATCTCAGGGAGAAGGAAAGGTCGGATCTGGTTCTAGCTGGTGACATTAACTCCAACTTTCATCTTAGGATACATCGTGAACTGTGTCAATGGCCACTTGGTGACTGTGGTATTTATTACAGGGACTGCTGACCTTCAGGGATGTGGCCATAGAATTCTCTGAGGAAGAGTGGGGACTCCTGACCCACACTCAGCGGCAACTGTACAGGGATGTGATGTTAGAGAGCTACGGACACCTCCTCTTCTTGGGTGAGGAAGATTCCTTCCACATTTCCCAAAGCCCACTCAGGGTTTTATTCCTTCCTGTGAAGACTGTCTTTTTGGATATTTCTCTTGGAATGACTAGAATTCAGATCCAGGCAGAAAGGGAAATAAGTAGTGCTTTGTAGATGGAGAGAAAAATCTTCATGGTGTTTCCTTCTCAGCCTTAGCTTCTCCTTCCTCAAGCAAACATCATTGCTTGTGTAAATGAGTGGCAGTTCTCAACCTTTAGTGACATAAATGGTGCTGCTCACATCTTAAACTGAAATTTCCCCTTCTTATTATCATGTCTACTACTTGGAAGTGTAGGTCAGGATGTGAACAATGGAAATTTCTCTTGTGTATTCTTTTTTTTTTTTTTTGAAGACATTATTTACTTATTTGACAGAGAAGGATGACAGGTAGGCAGAGAAGCAGGCAGAGAGAGAGGGGGGAATTAGGCTCCCCACCAAGCAGAGAGCCTGATGTGTGGCTTGATCCCAGGACCCTGAGATCATGACCTAAGCCAAAGGATGAGGCTTATCACCCTGAGCCACCCAGGTGCCCCGCCTCCTGTGTTTTCTAAAGGGACTGTTGGGGAACAGCTTTTGGGAAACCATTTTCTAGGATTGTACAATATCGTCTCTTCTCTCCTGAACACAAGACTGATGGGAAGTTAGAATTGGCAGCAAGAGTCATTTTCCTTTTTCCTCATAAACAGGTCTCCTGCCAAAGCCAGACCTGATCATGTTTTTGGAGCAAGAGAAGCACCTCTGGGATGTGAAGAGAAAGGAGACCAGAGGCTTCCATTCAGGTAGGTAGGAACAAATGAAGCAGATGACAGAGGGGAGGTCCAAGTCTGAAGGAGGAAGGAAATCCTTGTGTTCAGTAATGCAGTGTTGCTTCATGGGAAATTAATCATGAGCTTTTTCTTCTACTTTCCTCAGAATGTATCAGAATTTAATCCCAAATATTAATTTCATATACAGAGTCTCTCCACATATTTTCAACATCTATGATGTTTATTTATTCAGAAATGAAGATGTTGTTTGTTTCCTCTGTCTTAACCAAATGGACTATAGGGTTACATTCTGTGGAGGAGAATGAATATATTAATACCATAATATATGTCTTTCAAGCTTTTTAAGTGTTCATAAAGTTTTCATTTACAGCTGTTTATGATTGATTTTAATGAGAATACTTTACGATATTATAGTCCATGAAGACATGCCAATCAGTTGCTTGTTTTTCATGGGTACATGGACACAGTTCAAAATTATGGTAATATAGAAGTTTTCCTTTTCTGTCATACATCAGTGTTTTATTTAGAATTTCGTGGGTTGAGTTTTCTCTTATTCTGGTTTGGTAATTTCCTAAGAATGTGCTTCCTTGTCTGGCTCATTCCACGACATTAGCTAGATGTGGGTTGGGTGTTATGTGTGCAGGTTGTTACAGGAAGAGAATTTTCAGCTCCGTACATTTCAAGACCATGTGAGTATAACAAAAAAGAATGAGATTTATCCTTTTTGTTGGTAAATTATGTGTGTTTTTGTCTTTAGTTTGTATGTCGCACATATATACTATGTCACCCTTACTTTTTGTCTCCTTGGTGAGTGGTCAGTGAATGTTGTACCATGTCTAGGTGAGTTGTCATCCACATAGAATTAATTTCTTCATGTATTTGTGGGTGAATTTTTATTCTCTGCATGAGAGAAAGACTTTTTTGAATTCAGAGTAATTTTCAAATATTTTATACTTCTGTATCATATTTTGGTATGAAATACAAAAGATATACTTTATCTAATTGATTGTAGGATTAATACCCATGATATGTCTTGGTACCTTTGTCATTGAGTTATGCATCTTCTATGAGTATTTTCATTGTGGTTACCTTAGGGATTCGTTAAAACAACTTAGCTGTAAAACGAATTTTTTATTTTTATTTTTTAATAGATTTTATTTACTTATTTGACAGAGATCACAAGTGCAGAGAGGTAGGCAGGGAAAGGGGGGGAAGCAGGCTCCCCACTGAGCAGAGAGCCCGGGGTGGGTCTCGATCCCAGGACCCTGAGATCCTGAACTGAACCGAAGGCAGAGGCTCAACTGACTGAACCACCCAGGTGCCCTGAAACAAACCTTTTTAAAAACTCAGTGTCAATTATATAGAAAACTCTTCTTCCTGTCTCCACACCTGCACACCCTCCCGAATTTGTTACCAACATCACAAATTCTTTTATGTTGTATACTTTATGACCTACACTTGTAGGTCATATAGATTTTTTTTTATTTTTATTTTTCCAAAACAAAGCTCTGTAGCAGAAATAAACGTGACTAGTATCTCATTACAACACAGCAGGTTTGTGTAATTGTCTACATATTTATGTTCAGTGGAGAGCTCTGTGTTCTCATGTGGTTGCAGTTTCTGGGTAGAATCCTTTTATGTCATCTAGAAAGACTTCCTTTAATGGTTTTTGTGGGACAGATCTACTGGTAAGCTTAGAGGGGTTTTTACTTGGGAATGTCTTCGTTTCTGCCTCTTTAGAAAAGAATTTTGCTCGGTAAAGTATTGTTGGTGGCTATTTTTTAATCTTTGAGTACCTGAGTATGTTATGCTGGGCCCATTCCTTTTTGGACTGCTGAGAATCCTACTAGTGATATTATAGGAGCTCTTGCACAAGATGAAGTGGATTTGCCATTGTGTTTCATTTTAGATTTATTTATTTGACAGAGAGAGATCACAAGTAGTTGAAGAGGCAGGTAGGGGGAAGCAGGCTCCCTGGTGAGCAGAGAGCTGGATTTGGGGCTCCATCCCAGGACCCTGAGATCATGACCTGAGCCAAAGGCAGGGGCTTAACCCACTGAGCCACCCAGGTGCCCCTGTCATTGTGTTTCAAAAGTCTCTCTTCATCTGTGGTGTTTGATGGGTTAATTACGACATGTCATGAGTCGTCCCATTCTTTGTATGAGGTCTGCTGTATATACCATAGTTTTATAAGGAAGTAATTGGAAGAAATTAAATATGAAGGCAATCATAATGAAAAGACATTTACTGTAGTGCACTGGATTTATATCAAGCAAACTTCTCTGTGTATAAGTGGACCATTACTGATGAAAAGCACGTTATTCAGTGGTTAACTGTGTTTGTTAGTAGACCTGAAAGGATTCAGGGGCAGATGGATCTCTAGAGAGAGACAATTATTTTCAGTGTGATTCCTTTTTTCCTTTGACTCTATTTTGTATATGCAGATGGGTTTCCAAAGAAAACCAGAGTAGCAGAAGTTTCATCAGATAAACTAGTCTTTTATCTTTTGTTTATACTGCTTTGATATCAGGGTACTGCTAACCTCACAGAATGGTTTTGAGTATATTTCTCTATTTCAAAATTATAAGATTTTCTTTATTGCTATGATTTTGATAAGGATTGTCATGAATGGTTTTTGTAAATGTTAATTTCTTTTTCTTGTCCTGAGCCATGGCTCACCATCTAATACCCAGAGTTCTACCTAATGATCTCTAATTGAACAAAGTCACTACAAATATAATGATAAGCCACAGCTACACAATTCTCAAGGACTATCGATCAAATTTTACACTGTATGTTTCTCCTGTTGTTTTGTGAGCATAGAGAGCACAAGGAGAGTTTTAGGGTTTTGATCTGCACAGAATGCAATGTGTCATATTAAGCTAAAGATAGATTTTGAAGTCCCAGAACTAAGTAGGAAGAAGCACGTGTACATACATACGTGAGTGTACCTATATCTTCAGAAGGAAAAGGAATCTTGGTTCAAACCAGGTCATTTCCAAGTTTGAAAACCGATGATTTCCTAGCAGGTAAAGAGATTCTGGATTCATAATAGAAATAGTTTTCTCTGATTGTATTGAAATTATGCTTACTACATCTCATGTATCTTAGTTTGAGAATCCCCCCATGTGAATCGTCTCTTACATAACTAGGTTTTACTCCTGTAGGATCTACTCTGTTTTCCTTATTCCTGTGTTGACCTGTTGCTTACCTATCTTGATAGAGATTTTAACAAGAGTTTCCATGGAATGACATGGTATTCAACATTTAATTTAAATGTGAGAGTAATTCTCAAGGGGGCATTATAAATTCCTTTAGTTAAATTGAGACATCACTCCTTCCTTTGTGATTGGAGAAGTAAGAGTTCCTTAGTTGTTATTCTTTTCCCTTCTAGGAAGTGATGTCATCCATGTTGGTCACTTCAGTGTCAGCACTTATTAGGTAAAAACATGGAGACTTCATGAATCATGGTATTTGTTTTTGTTTTTCTTTTCTTTTTTTCTTTTTCTTTTTTTTTACATTTATTTTAAGGAAACAAAGATGGAACAGGGCTGGGTGCTGA